TGACTTTTCTATTTTTTTTTTTTTTGGTGAACTATTCCTTTAATTGACCCAAGCAGCAGGCAAGGTGGGGCTGTTTGGCACACCCATATGACACATTGCTCAAGGGTCTGCTACATGTCTGAGCAAACATACCAGATCTACTGATCTGATCTCATTTCATGCAAATGTATCCCATTTTCAAGCTTATTCTCATACCTGATGTATGGACTAGCAGCAGCCAGAATGTTTTTCTGAACAGGAATCTGTTCACCATCCAAAACCAGCACTGCATCTTGAAAACAATCATCTTGTCTGAAAGACTGAAGGACCCTTAGAAGCTTTTGGGAGTGTTGAGGGTCTGACACCACTGATCCAGCATCGGCTCCAGCTCTTTTAGGGTCTGACATGCTGTTAGAACAGACAGAGAGATGATCAGACAACACAACAACAACAACATGGTTCATGCTTGTCTTACATAAACAGAACTACAGGTTTAACTCATTCAAACTCACTCCAGTGTACTTGAAATACACTTGTTCTTGATGCTCTCTGTAACTTCAGCTTCTCATAATCAGTTGTCTGTGTCAGAGCAGCGCACAATGCAGAAAAACAATTTGGCAGGTTAGTGAGGCAGCGTGAGGTCACCAGGAAGCGCCTTTTATTTTTCATAATAAAAGTTCATTTTTCCCCTCATAATAAAACATGCAGGTGTACGTAGAAATGTTCAAGAAATGGTCATAGAAAATATGGGAATAAAAGTATTGCATAAAATATTGTTTAATATTACAGTGAATTATTCGTTTTATAATTTATTTTATTTAGGCAATTTTAAGAAACATTTAAGACTATAATCTATATAACTAACATTCAAATACTTTTAAAATGCTGTTTTTAAATAGTTTCTTTAATAATAATGATATATATATATATATATCATATATCATATATATATAGTATGGATTACTGATAAACATGTTATCATGCAAACAACATATATTTATAATTCATGTCTGAAATTTGTTTTTAATACATTTTACTACATATGTTTTAATTATATTTAAAAATTTTTACATTTTATCCTGTCTTCTCGTGAATTTGTCTTATGTGGATAACTCGCCTTTTTGGGGGACTTGAATATATTAGTGTCATTGTAAAGCTGCAATATTTGAGAAATCACAGACTTAGAACGACCAACTTCCTTTGCAATGACTGAAAGGGTCATGATATTGAAACATTTTGCATTCAACCTGTGATAAAACTTTCATGGACTTTTTCATTAACTGTTCCCTCCTGGTGGAATGACCTGCCCAGCTCAATCCAAGGAGCAGAGTCCTTAATAATTTTCAAGAAACGGCTGAAAATACATCTCTTTCATCTTTATTTGACCCTCTAACTTTAGCCCTCTCTATTCTATTTCTATTCTAACTACTTGTTTTATTTAAAAAGAAAAGAGCCTTTAACACTAGAATTCTCTATTCTTTCTCTATTTTTTCTACTTATTTTCTTTTTATTTATTATAAATAATGACCTTCTAATACAAGCATTATCTATTCTTTTTCTGTTCTATTGACTTGTTTTATTTTTATTTCAAAGTGAGCCTCTAACACTAGCATTCTCTATTCTCTTTCTATTCTTTCTACTTGTTTTCTTTTTATTTATTCTAAAAACAAAACAAGCAAACAAACAAACAAACAAACAAAAACCTTGCTACACACACACACAATCAAATGCTTTTTCACTATCTGAAAAGAATATCATCAATACTTTCTGAAATAAGTACAGATTTGTCTCTCCATCTTCCAAAAATCGTATAAAATGAACCTAAAACACATGCATAAAGCTATTATACTGCCCGCCAATGCTAGTGCCAGCTACACAAAATATGCATCACATAATAGGACTTTGTCAGTTATGCATGATGCTCAGATTAGTTGGTCTCTGAGTTGTTGTTTTTATAAAAGTGCATTAACAATGACAAAAACGTTAGAAAACACATTTGGATGTACAATTATATTTTTTATAACTTGAATTTATATGCATTTTCTAGTCTAAAATGAGCTCACTATGGAGTCTTGAGAGCATGTGACCTAACATGTGCTAATGTCTCCTTTACTACTTAGTTACCAAAAATGTGAAGCACATGGCTAATACATTTTAATTTTACTGGTTGAAGGGGATGTCATTTGAACATTAATATTGTATTTTAAATGCAATTTTCTTAGCGTCATTTATAAATCCCATAGAGGGTTAAGTTTTTATACTGTGCTTCAGAAAACAATTCATTTATGAAATATGCTTAAAAAACTGCCTTTCTACTCCTGTTAGGAATACTTCAAATAGGACTAAGCAGTGACCATTGAAATTTAGGAAATTATAGGTTGTTCTCTACTTTTGATCTCCAATGTATTTCATATTTCTCATGCTCCAAACATGATCCAGCACCACGAGTGCACACATATTTCATCATGTCTTCTTCAAATGAAATATGTGCAAATAAGGACACTAATACAGCAGTACGTCTGATCATGCTGATCATGAAAGTGATGACATGATATATTACTGTGATGCTCAGCAAACAATGATACAGACCAAAAATTCAAAGAAGGGTGGACAACAATGTAACTATGCCTTTATTCTTTCTGTGTTAAACTGATGTGTGTTTTTTGTTCGGAGACTGTAATGCTGGTAAACACAATGTAAATATTAATAGACCTTTTAAATGTTCTTCTTTATTTTTCATATATAGCTCTCCAAAGTTATAATGCTGATTTGTTTATATTTCAAGGAATAATTTATCAAAACGTATTTTATTTGTTCATGATAGTTATTAGTAGTCTCTAATGATAAGATTTCTTGAGTTTGTTATCATTGGGTTATATTTTTAAAACACATCAAGTTGGCCCCTAACCTATTCCCTATTCCTACTCATATTTTAATATTCATTACTCTAAAATGAGTTTGTTGTAAGTCTGTGTTTTATTGGTTGTTTTCTACCCTTTTCCCACCCACTACACTAACTTACACTTAAAAATGCAGAAAAATCATAACCCCTGTGTGTTTTTATATTCTGTTCTGTTCTATTTTGTTTTATTCCATTCTATTCAAATGTGGCCTATTTAAGGACTTTTCTTAATTCGAAACAGTTTCACAGAATGCAGAAAAGAATAGTGTCTTGTGAATGTAGCAGAGAAAATGTGAAGTTAATATAGTGAGATTAATAAGCTATTATTTGACAAGCAATATAGAGCATCTCTATATATCCTTACTACAGCATTAACATACTACTACATGAGGATAAAAAGTACTGCAGATTTATATGTATACTCATGGGACTTCCCTTTAGGTAAATGCCACACGGTGATTAATTTCAATTTATATTTCAGAGCCAAGATTCATTTCTTTGAAACAGCCACTCTTGCGCTGTGTAATGTATTTTTATGAAACATTTATAGGACAGTAAATCCCTCTGTTGCTTAGTCATTAAATGTGTCATCAATCACAGGTTCCTGTCAGGACATTATGGGAGAAGAGGTTTGTCAGAAGGAAGTCTGGACAAATCTGTCCTTTATGCATGAAAAGAAAGAGAATTAAGCTGACGCATTGACGGGCCAGAGAAAA